TAAAAAAGTGGAAACCAGGCGAGGAGGCCCGGAAACACTAGCGCTCAGATGAGGGTCTCCAAGATAACAACAAGACCCTTGGCTGGGGGTGATTCCGCCTAGACTACGCGTACAGGAATATAGCGTGTAGAGAGAAGAAAAAGTGTGTGACCGTCACCGTAAACCCTCCAGGTTTACACGACTCCGCATCCAAACACGGGTTGTTTCTCTAGCGTCAGTTCCCCTCCCGTCTCTCCTACTTTTTGTTACTGACCCCTTACTCCCACACGCCTTCACGACATCGAAGAAGAAAGCGAGCCAGTTCCGATGTATCGGCATGCTTTCAGCAGGCCCATGAGCCCTGCTCAAGGTCGCTCCAGAAATGGAAATGATTCCGGTCAAGGTCAACCAAACCGCAACCCCTCTCCGACTCTTAGTGGCAAGCCGAGTCCATTCTTGACTTCGCCAACTAGTCGATCTACGACCCTCCTGGTTTCCCTGGAGGTGGACCTCCTGGCAGTGGTGGACCTGGCGGACCTGGTGGTGATGGACCTGGTGGTCCTGGTGGCAGCCCTGGTGGATCTGGAAATCCATTCTGGGGTCCCCCTAGAGGTGGTGGTGGCGGAGGAGGCGGAGGAGGTGGGGGTGGTGGACCACCTGGTGGAGGTGGTGGTGCCGGAGTCCCTCGAGCTGGCTCTCCGGTCCGTGATCTTCAACGCGCTATGATTGGCGCTCTCCAAAATTTCCAACATTTCCTCACCAACTTTCCTCAGCGCAACAACAATACTGCGCCCTGTTCCAATTGGAGTCTTCGCCGGGCACCAGACACGTTCGACGGTTCCGAGCCCGCGAAGCTCGTCCCCTTTCCTCACCCAGTACTATATGCACTTTGCCGAGCGTGAGCAAGATTTCTCTACTGATGACGAGAAAATAATCTACATCACCTCGTATCTGCACGGAAACGCATTGGCGTATTTTACGCCTAACCTGTATGCCATGAATCAGGGCCAGGCTATTGCGATTCCGGCTTGGGACAGCAATTTTCCTTTGTTCATCAAGGAACTCCAGGACAACTTTGGTCCTCAGGACCCGGTTGGCAACACGGAGGACAAAATCCGGAATGTGACGATGAAGTCCGGTGATAAGATCACCACTTACATTATCCAATTCGACACCCTTGCTCTCATCACCAATTGGGGTGATGCTGCTCTCCGACATACCTTCTATTCCGGTCTTCCTAAACTATCAAGGACGACATGATGCACTACGTCTATGCTAATATGCTGGACGGAGTCAAACAAACTGCCCGTCTCATCAACGGCAAGTATTGGAAGTGTGAAGCGGAGAAGCAGAGGGAGCGGGAGTTAAGAGATTCTCATGGTGGTGGATCTGGTTCTGGTTCGGGCTCTGGCCATTCCGGTGGCCATTCCGGTGGCTCGAATTCTGGGTCTGGGGGTTCTAAAAAGGACTCTTCGAAAAAATCGTCTGGCTCTTCTGGCTCCTCTGGCAACAACTCCGGAAACGGGAAACGTCTCCGGTGGTAATTCGAATTCTGGCAACAAGGGCTCCAACAGCTCTCAGCAACAGGCTTCCTCGTCGTCTTCCAACAATAACGACAAGACAAAGACAGCCAAAGCGCATGCTTCCCTTCTTGGTCCTGATGGAAAGTTGAAGCCAGAAATACGCGAGTTCAGAATCAAGAACAAGCTTTGCCTCTTCTGTGACAAGTCTGGGCATATGGCCAACGAGTGTCGAAAGAAGAAGGCTATGTTGGACGCACGCGCCACTACCATCACTTCGGTGGCTGCGTCTCCGACGGTCGCCACTCCGGTCGACAACACTGAGTCAAAAAAAATAGTCAGCGACTCGGTCCCTCTTGCAGCCGAACCGAGCCGCGTTGACTCCAGGTTGCTACCGGAGGTACGTCTCAACGCATCCGCTCTTTCTTCTCACGCCTTGTTTCTCGATCTTCACGTTTCCGCTCTCGTCCTGTCTCCGGGGGTCCCGGACTCGATCCTGTCAGGAATAGAGTCTGGTTCAACCCCAACTCTTTCCATCGTACAACGCATAGCGGCGGGATTCAACTCCCGCTTGAGGACTCTTATCGACTCTGGATCATCTCATTGTTTTATATCTGCCTCTATCTGTAAAATGAAGAATCTTTTGCCCTATGCTGTTTCGCCTGTCAAGCTATGGTACCTTGACGGCTCCTCATCAACCATCAACCAACAAATCTGTCTCCTCATCCGCTTTCCGTCTGGCGAAGTCCACCTTGTGGAATTCTATGTTACCCATCTGGACTCTCCTTGCGAAATGGTTCTTGGATATAGTTGGCTCAACCGCTTTAATCCGTTGATTAACTGGTCTGAAGCCACCGTCTCTTTCCATTCCAACACGTCTAGGGAGTCTTTGTCGACAAAACTGGCTACTATCACGCCTGCTCCTGTTGCGATCAGCTCCTCTACGAGCGAGGACATTCCGGAATCAGAATCGATTCCGCCCTCTCCGGTTGCTCCTATATCGCCCCCTTTGCCAACAAATCTTGGTCCTGTATTGGACGATCCATCTCTGGTTGACACTCCGTCTCCGGCCATAACTCTCACGCGCAAGACTCCTCTTGTCGCGCCCCAAATCTCTCTTGTTTCTGCTGTGGCTTATCGCTGTGTTATTGCGGATAAAGATACGTATCAGTACACTCTTCGTGCAGTCCCTTCTGACGAAGCCTTTGCTCGAGCAGCTCAAGCCGAGCCTGAGGTTAATTGTCTCCCACCCGAGTATCAAGACTATGCCGATGTGTTCTCGGAAACGGAAGCTTTCAACCTCCCCCCCCCATCGCGAGTTTGATCTCAAGATCGAGAGCGTTGATGGTGAAGAACCACCCATCGGACACGTCTATTCTCTGTCTCAGAACGAGCTGGAAGCTCTCCGCAAGTTCATCGACGAGAATCTCCGCTCCGGGTTCATTTATCCTTCACGCTCTAGTCATGGCGCGCCTATTCTCTTCGCTAAGAAGAAAGATGGCAGCCTTCGCCTTTGTGTTGACTATCGCGGACTCAATCGCATCACGAAGAAGGACCACTACCCGCTTCCGCTAATCTCGGACTTGCTTGACGCACCGGGAAAGGCACGTATCTATACAAAACTCGATCTGCGCCACGCCTATCATCTTCTCCGCATCGCACCCGGAGACAAACCAAAAACGGCATTCCGCACTCGCTATGGCTCTTACGAGTTCAGGGTTGTACCTGAAGGTCTTACCAATGCTCCTGCTGCGTTTCAAAGATTTCTCAATAGTCTTTTCGCCAACTTACTGGATGTTACAGTTATCGTCTATCTTGACGACATCCTAGTCTATTCAGACGACAGGTCGAAGCATGTAGAGCATGTTCGGGAAGTCCTACGGCGTCTCCACGAAGCCGGACTCTACTGTAAGCTGCCAAAGTGCGAATTTGGCGTCACGACTACTGAGTATCTGGGCTACATTCTCTCCCCTGACGGCTTTCGCATGTCTCCGGAGAAGGTCTCCGCGATCACGGACTGGCCTACGTCTAAGAAAGTTAAGGATATTCAATCCTTCCTCGGTTTCTGTAACTTCTATCGACGTTTTATCTTCAAGTACTCCGACATCACGATTCTGCTCACTCGTCTCACTCGTGCCAACGTCCGCTGGAACTGGTCCACTGAGTGTCAAGAGGCTTTCGACTACCTCAAGAACTGGCGCCCTAGCAGGCGGACCCTTAGAGTTTCTTCTCTTTGGATCCTCCCCTACTAGGTCGGTCCCTCCGTGTATTTCCGTAGCTTTTATTCACGCCTTGGATCCTCCCCTGCTAGGCTTTCGTCGGAGTCTCCAGGGTTGCCCTTACAGCAGAAGAAACTCTCTACTGGATTAACCGGTCAAGATTGCCAGGTTTGGCGCTGATTCAGGCTCGGAGTACGAGTCCGTACCCCCCTCGTCACCGCCCCTGCCACTTGACCCCTCCTCCTCTGCTCTTGTCGTCTTTACGCCCGCTATGTCTACCGGAGCTGCTCCGGACGCTGACGCGCGCATGGACGCACTTGAGGCGAAACTAGACAACCTCACCAATATCCTCGCCCACCTTGCTTCCCAGGCTTCCGCTGCCGCACCACCTTCGGCAGCTCCCGAACCGCATTCGGCATCTCCGAATGCCCCCGACGCGGATGCGTTATTTGGTGACATTACTGTCGCCTCAAAACTGGTCTTACGACCAAACCCCCCATTTGCGTTTAACAGAGATCGCAAACGCGGCCGCGCCTGCCTATACGCGGTCAAGACTTATGGTAACTTTACTGGGGATATATCTCACGTACCGCTTGCCCGCCTGTAAGTCTCCGACGCCGTTGGGCAATACGAATTCGTGTCTTGCGCAGACGCCCATGCCAACCCCGGTTACACTGTAACCACGAGAAAACGTGGTGTTCGCATGGTCCAAAGCAGCAAGACCGCTACAGGTGCTCATCTAAAGTCGAGGTCAGTTTCAGCCAACAAAATATAAGACACCATGGCGTACCTCTTGCTCGTCAGTTATCATTAGTAAATGAGCTCGATACGGTTCCCATTCGACCATGTAAGCCCACCCCATTCCCAAACCCGGATCACGTAGCTCATTGGAGATTGAACGGCATTTCAATCGGAAACAAGCGTCCATAGCGATGAACATGATGTAGAGACACCCTGACTTGTCTGTGATTCAGCCCAGCAAGAATTTTTTTTACCGATCTTCAGGAGGAGCATTCTCCCATCCTTCTGGCAAGTTGATTCCAGGCCGCGGACAGGCAGGGCAACGAATGGCAAGCTCTCCTGAAGCAGTTCCCATGACACCGAAACGGTCATGACCACGACCCTTCCGCTTAAGCAACAGAAGATGTCGGTATTGCCATGAAATCCGCATAAAAACAGAGTATCGATCAGGTGGCTTGATACCAGTCCCGTCCGTGCAAGACTCGAGTGCAGAATAGAAGTCGTATGTCGTTGTTTTGCCGTGGAGGGAAAGATAGTGAAATCAGTCCAAGCAGGACAAGGTTGCGGCAGTTCGTGGAAACTCCATCGTCGCCGGATACCATCCAGCCTTCAACAACTGAACACAGTCTGCGTCATGACCCATGCAGCCGCAGAAGTCCACGGCAACTTCGTGTATCCCGTTAGCTGCCAAAACCACAAAGTCACTTCGTCCTGCCATTGGGCGGTCACAGATTTCGTTGGGTGGGTGCGCGAGTTGGATGCGTAGACCAAGGCTATGAAGAGTGGTCTTGATAAAGTACACACCCGTCCATTTCTGTGAGAGTCTGATGAGTAGAGTGCTCGCAATATAACTTAGCTCTCACCTCGATGAAATGCAAGGGGTTAGCCCGGTGAGCTTCGACACAACAGCCTTGACATAACATAGCTCCACCAAAGCAAGATAGGCAGCGGTATATGGCTGGAGAGGCGCTGTCATGACATGTACCGCAGAGGTCTCCTTCCTTGCCTCGTCCATCACGCCAGAGGAGAGACTGCAAAAAAGAGTCCCGGCATTCACGCATCCATCGATCCATTGCTGGGTCCTGAAGGCCTTTAGAATGTATAAGATGGGAAGGGATGGTAATACGTACTGCAGGTTGGCTGTGTCGAGCCGCATTGGTCTCTACATCGTCTTCTTCTTCTTCTTCGCCTTCCAAACATATCTCATATCTCTCAGGATCCTCGGCGGGAGTATAATTGAGAGCTCCATCCTGGCGATGAAGATGGTTTAGCCGTGCTCGTTTGACTGGAGAAGTGGGCTTGACAACAAGACTCTGTGTATGGACGCGTCGGTTGTCGTTCGTGATGCGATGCAGAGAAGTGGTCAAAGGGGCGTCTGGTGGTGCACCAACAAGCTCCTTCATTGACAAGATATGATGTCGAACAAACGCAGGAGCACCCGTTGCTCGACGTTTTCGAGTGTTGGACAATGATGATGCCATGAAGGAAGGGTGACGTGACCACCGTGACCAAACAAATCAAAACTGAGTGGATATTCGGTCGATCGGATACCGTGCAAGAAGAAAATGTATACAAAAAAACAGACTACTGGTAAATCAAATGCCAAGGAGCTCGAGCTATCAAGGCATCTCTGCGAAATAAGCAGAATGAGAGGTCGTCGAAAGAATAGCAGAAAACAAACTCACATATTTGTGTACTCCTCTCCACGACAGAAATCTAGGTCAAACACAGGTGGGGAAGATTCGGGCGTAAGTTTTCCAAAGTAGAATTCAGCAAGTATGGCATATGATCCAGGTTCGAGCGGTGGAGTCGATGTGTCTGCGTTGCTGGGAGGAGGAGGGTCACCATGGAACCATCTAGGTTGATTTAAGCTAGCGTTGTATGATGAGATACACGTACCATCCAACCAGATGCCTGACGGCTTCGACATGACCTAGCTCTATGTCAAGTGCCTTGGTGCCCATCACCGTCGTCATGAGATCTCTCTGCAACGCTCTAACCCGCCCCAACTGATGTTTGACGACCACGACATTTCCTACGACACGGCTTGGGGGAGGGCCCACATTGCTTGCGAGATTGGCGATGGCATCGTTGTACGGAACCTCGATTTCGTCGTCGTCGTCATCAAGTGAAGATATGGAGCGAGCTCTGCCTTTGGGACTGCACCCACTGACAAAGAACGAGTAAGCTTCGCTCGCAAAACACCACACCCTAGTGATGTCTAGCCACTCCTCTAGATTCGGATTGCTGGTGCTCCAGGTGTGCTCGATAGACTTCATGAGGGAGGATACTGGCTGAATTTCCTGCTGTAGGCAGGCGCTCGATCTTGCCATTTGTCCAGAAGACCATAACATGGATTGGGGACTTGTTCGAAGATGTCGTTGTCGAGGATGTGGACATGGTGGTGAGGGGGGAAGTAGGCGGCCATTGAGAACCGAGCAGAGAAGCTGATGATTCCGCTCTTACATATATGGCTCCAATATGCAGCGGATAGAGCGGGAATTCAAGCGCGTCTACTATTGAGGTCGATAGAGCGGTAATTCGAGCGTGTCTGCCGTCGAGGACCCTTTGAAATCCCGGAGAGTGGAATGTTTCAAGAGGAAATTTATTTCTGTCGAAGTTAGATACAAACTGAGGTAGGCGCTACAGGAAAGCCAGAGTCCGAAGGCGGACGCAGCGGCGCGCTTCCCACACCAAATGTACTTTGACCATTGCAACATATGCCAACTGTGCTTCTTTCGTTTTGACGGGACAGGCCGCACCTCCGTCGATGTCTAGGTCATCCTGGAGCACTTGTAACAGAGCCCAGGATTTCCTTGCAGAGTCCAGTTCCCGCTCGATTTGCAGCATAGATACCTTGCGAGACCAGTTCCGACACCAGTATCCAAATTCCTCCTCCCTCTCCTCCTCTTCCTGGGGTTTGTAGCCATGAATGGCATTGATAAGTTGCGGGACGTTCTCGTACTCTCGACGTGGCTCATTTTTGAAGTCCAGGGAGTTGTATGGCGGTCTCAGTTGGTAAGGAAAGAGCCCAGTCATTTGGCCACTCCTTCCTCGGCAAAACCACTCTTCGTCGTCGTCGGGAAGGGCAAAGGCGGCCTGTTGGATGAGGTCGATGGGCAAAGGGGGTAGATTGTCAAGGGTTAACGGCTTTTGCTTCCTTCCTCGCTTGTTCCTCCGCTAATACTCTGCACGGACAACAAGAGCTCTGAAACCACGAGACCGTCAGCAAGGAATAGACATGCAAGAGAAAGTACATGCTTGGGGCTGTTCTCGTATTTTCGGCGAGATTCTCGCGCTGCCTCGCGTCTCTCCTCCTCCGTTCGGTATTTGGGTGGTTGGGGCATGACGTGAGAGTGGTACCGGTGAAGGATGTCGTATGAGATGGATGTAGATGGAAGATGTCGAAGGACAAGTGTTATCAGTTCCGTGACACCAGTGATCTGAAGATCTCGGAATTGCGAATTCATTCATTAAAGAGGTTGTGGTTAGTCTTACGGTCCACTGAAGACGGCGTTCGAGTCCTATTGCATGCCCATTTAAGATAATATGTACTTTCCTCCAGTACTAGTACCTGTACATTGGTGATGGTCAGTTGAAGTTATCGACCTTGGTGTGCATTCGATAATGCCGACTGTTCTTCATACCAGATATCTGGTCGTGTGTATCGAAACCTATATGAATGCTGGTTTCAAGAAAATTATATCATGCAAACCGGGCATTGAAACTATGGCTATTACCATTTTTTGTGGAGTGGTAGTCCAAGCGCCTGGCTTATAACAAAAATATTTGTTTTTCCAAGATCTTCAGTCACGCGTTACCACCACTCATGCAAACGCTTCAGTGTCATTTCTGAGTTTCATTTGACAGTCCTTTAGTGTTGTACCAAGAGTTTTTCGATTCAAGCATATGAACAAGAGACAGATATTTTAAATGACTCCCAGGGGCCTGATTTGGCGCTCAATTTCACCAGATCGGCGAAGCATGGAGCGCTCGACGTGCCAGAGTGCCCACCAAGCATTGCCAGCGTTGTTACGCCGACGAATGGCCTCCTGAAATGCCTCTCACAAACCTTCAGGCTCCCCCTGCTCCACCTGTAAATACTCCAATCCCAGACCTTCGCCGCGAGCAACGATAGCCTCGTATGCACGAATAAGTTGCTGATGAAATCGGGCCGTTGCCGCCTGCTCCTGCTCTTCGAATCCAAATGTGTCGGCGAGGAGGCGGACTTGATCAATGGAGTGAGTTACAGTCTGTAGTTCTTCTCGCAGCGAGAGTAGGAGGGCGTCGTTGGTAATCTTCTTCTCTACTTGCTTTGCACGAAGACCGGCCTGGTCTACACCAATGTTGAGTGACGATTAACTAGAGGATAATAAATATTACCAGCTGCCAGCAATAACTTGGGACGCGGACGCGTGTAGGGCTTGGTTGTTGACTTGAAGGTTGACGACGAGTTCTCTACTGTGGGGATTGAGTCGGCAACAGACGGTATAACCTGCTGGAGCTCACCGGAATGAGGAGGCTTTTCTTGAGGTGCATATCCAGTAGCCGTACTCCCTCTGGAAGCAGGCTTGGATGGACAGCTAGCAGGTATCGCTTAGGAAATATCAATAGGTTTGCGACGAGCCCACAGCAGCTATTTACCTTGGTGCGCCTTTGAAAGTGGTTTGTTGGGCTTATCTGGCACCTTGAGAAACACAGGTTTGCGAGGAGTCGAAGGTGTCGAAAGTTCAGTGTCCATGGCAAAAAGGCAGAGGGAGCGAGCAAGAAGCAAGTGGGCCGTGGAGGGAGAGAGGCCGAGCCCCTCCAAAGCTTCTAGGACAGCCATACGCGTCAGGTAAGGAAGAAGCAGGTGGGCCGTGGAGAGAGAGAGGCCGAGCCCCCTCCAAAGCTTCTGGGATGGCCACTCGTTCAGCCATTAGAGAGGCAGCCGGAGAAGAAGCTGCACGTAAGCGTTATTGTGTCACGGTCACACGTCAAAATTTTTTCACTATCTAACGGGGACCCACTTCTCTTTCCTTCCACCCGCCTCTCTTTTCCTGCCACTCGTTTCTCTTCCGCCCATGTCCCTCGAAGTTGCCACTGGTGCCACCACGTCGTCGTTCAACTCGGACGACTACACGTCCGGGTCGTCGTCCTCGTCTGAGGCGTTCATGGAGCCCAGACTGACTCGAGTGCGTCCTGGCCAATGCTGACGACACAATGACTCACCATAGCCAACAGGTATACCATGCTGCTCAGCTGCCCCCAATCACGGTCAAAATCACTGTGTACCCTTGGATGGCGGGTATCCTTGGCATCTACGACTTCGACCTCAACCGCTACTCGCCTACGCTGCGCGCCTCCGCCTTGTCGCTGGACTATTTCGAAATCAACCCGGCTCCCTGCTCTCAGTGCCCCAAAATGGTGGACACACATCCCCGTCAACCCGACGCTTGCTTCACCATTCTCCTGGACTGTCCTCACTCGCCTGAAGATCGCATCCGCCCGGAGAACAAAGTGATCCAGCACATCTTCGATGCCATCGGTTGCCCGTCTGCCGCGGTACTGTGGTCGTCGTCAAGCACCGTCGCCCAGAAAACCCCAGTGTTTTGAACGCGGACATGGCCGTGAAGAGTATACAGAAGCAGCCATAGCTGTAAGAATTAGCCTCCTGGCTTAGGTGCACCTAGGAAATGCATTGCCTAGGATACTAAATGTACCTAGCCTAGGTATACCCAGTGATCTAGGCTAGAATCACCTCAGGGTGTCTGGATCAATATAGCATCAATGATGGAATAAATGGTTATATAATATCTATAATATTAATAATAATACATATATAATACTTTAAACTCCTTTTCTTCAGGCCGATGACCCGGTATATAGTTGGGAAGGCCTGTGTCAATAACAATCCTAATTTGGACAAAAATGATGTATAGTGATATAGCCATCAAAAGTACTGATGGTAATCAAAAATGGTTCCACATTAAAAACATTATATAAATAGGTGCATTGGCTTAGGTAATAGAATACCAGATAAAGAGTAATAATATATATTCCAATTAAAATAATGCTTTAGCCTAGAGAGAATTGCTAGGCTAAAGTTCTAGGTGTACATAGTCTCTGGCTGTACCTAGTATTCTAGGCAATGCATTTCCTAGGTACACCTACTGGATTTAGGCTAAATACTACCACTACGGCTCGAGCACAGAAGGAGGACCTCCCCGCAATCCAGGATATTCTCGTTCGGTAGGTTTACATCTTTCCATATCTGCCTGACTGATTTTTCTCTTTCTCAAGGCAAATATCTGCGATGTACAAAGCGGCAAAGGGTCGCCCTTATTTCATGTCGACCGAGGCGGCTCAGCAGGCCTGGAAGAACTCGCCCAACCCGTCCATGATTGGGTCTCTTTCGTGGTCTCAAAACGCTCCTGCCCCCGGCACCTCAAGTGCCAGCCGCCGAGACCATGGCTGGCGACAGCGTTCCCGCGTTGGACGA